CACGTAGCTTTTAAAATGTTGTTAGTTGTGTATCATTGGTGGTAATACTGAAAGAAATTTGCTCTCTTTGTTCTATAACCACGAATTATTTGTCGTATATTTTTTAGAAATGCATTATTTTTTTTCGGAATAATGACACGTTCCTGTAAAGTTGAAAAAAAAGTAATAAAATGGGATATTTTTGAAAAGTTATTAACTTCATTGTCCGTTATAAGAAATTGTTTTTCAAAAAATATTAAAAATGCCTCTCCTGAAAAAAAGCTTTTTTTTGAATAGTGTCACTATTCTTGAGAAGCAGCGATATATCTGATGCTACTGCATTTTTAATTGCTGTGGTTAATCATCCCAAGGAGAAAAAACAGTTCTCCTTTCTGGTGACGCCGATCTAAGCCGATTTATCGAAAAAAAAAATGTCAACGCATCACATCACATCACAACTTTCGAAAGATTTATTTCGGACTTCCATTGTTTGAGTTACGATTGATTGAAGATATCGCATTCAATCGTCTTCAGGCAAACTGGATCGAAAAATACTGTAACCAAAATTATGTTCTAGAAAATGACAGTCCGAAATAAATCTTTTGAAACATTCACCTTATCTACGAACTTCAAACAACAACATAGTTTATCTCTTCGCACACAAAATGGGACCTTCTACCTGAAATGGACTATAGGAAAAATAATTGCGCGGCTGCCTACACTAAACTACATCTAAGTATCATAACTCTTAAAATTCAAGATTCAAGATGACATAAGAAAGGAATAATCTCCTAGCGAGGTTTCTGCATGAACCGTCAGTCTTCTCCATGTTATATATGGAGAAGGCCAATTTCGGCTTCCAAAACGTCGCAAGGAGACGCGAGCAATACGTTTGTGTCATGCTCGGACGCTTCAGGCTGCAATTTTTTAGACAGCTCAGGCTTCACGTGACAACTCTGAAAAATAGAAGATCGATACAAATAGAGGGATGCAAATCTCAAGTATCAAGTCACGCTCTGTTTATTTAAAATCGTAATTAACACTTGCTGCCCGTTAGGCCATCAACAAAATTATTGTCTCTATCATCAATCAATGCAGAACCAATTCATAACATTTAGGAGACTAATTTATTTTGTAAATCGCAAACCGCCACATAACTTGATACCGCATACCCTGATATACAAATGTGTTCCGAGGCACTCAATCTTCAATTTTTCAAATTGTATAATCCACGAATCCGCGAGCTGTATTCTAGATCGCATTCTAATCGCGCTAATAAAGTTTTATTTATACAATCCAAAAATTGTTTTTTCACAGCCACACACCAAAAAAGTTAATGCGTCATAATCTAGTAAGAACTGTTCAGCCTCATGTTACATGTACAAGAAAAAATAGGAGGCTGGTCAAGAAAAAAGTCCAGTTGCGAATTCAGTACGTCCAGCCTTTGCTAAACTAGATAATTTAGGTGCAGCCGAGGTACACAGCACTATCATCATTGACCTTGAGCAAGGATATTTACGTATTCGTTTAGAGTTCTGATCGGTAATGACAAGTAGACCAGGTCGTTGGGACATACTAGGGTATAAGTAGAATATGAATTTCCTAGTAGTAATCGATATACCGGGTTTGGTGTAAACAGTGGATAACCGTTAACCTGCAGTTAGAGGACATCATAACGATTCAAAAAATTGAAAATCGTGTCTATGTAAAACTTGGACGGTTTTCGATTTTTTTTTAGGTTTTTTAAATTTAAAGGAAATTGGGTCCTTCCCCCACTCACTATTTTAAGTATCGTGATAACACATTAAGGTTTTTTTCTCATCCTATTATCAACATAAGTATCCTTGGATACATGTGTCATTAAATATAAATTGCCATTTCCGTCCTTTTTTTAAAAATCTTAAAAACTCTCAACTTTGACCACGTGTGGTGTCAATAATATCGCGGTAATCTAGTGGAACAAGACGGGAATAATTTGCATAATTCATTGTGATTGCAAAATTATACAATACACCGTATTTCTGAATTTTAATGATTTTTTAAAAAAGCAATTAAACTTGTAGCACAAAAATGACAATTTATATTTTATGACACATGTATCCAAGAATACTATGTCGAAAAAAGAAGAGAAAAATCGTTCATGTATCATCACGAGACATAAAACAGTGAGTGAAGGTGCACATTTCCTCCAAATTTGAAAGACGTCGCAACAATTGAAAACCACGCAACTTTTACTAGACACAATTTTCAATTTTTTAAATCGGTATGATGTCCTCTTACTGCAGGTTACATATTACAATGAATAAAGCACTTTTTATTAGAGGTTGACGAAAACGAATGTACCTTTATAAATCACAATGTTCAACCAAAAAAGCAAAAATGTAAATACACTGGCAAAGTACACAGCTGAATCTTTTCCGGTCCAAGATTCGTATCTCAAAAAAGATTCACCTCCATATTATTTACATTTCTCTATGTTTTGGTGATGGTGGGATACAAAACGAAATACAATCCACATATAGCTGAGTTTCTTCGATGCCAAGATGCAGTACGGCAAAGATAGTAACTCACCTAATAGTACATTGGTTATTTTCGTATTTGTTAGGACTGATATATCTCAATAAGGCTTCATTTGCTGTTTGCAAATTGGTTTCAGTTCCTTTCAATTGCATATGATCCGATCCAAGTCTGACTTAATATAGTGCGTAGCCTGATGGCAAATGTTATCGAAAGGGTAGGGAAAAAAAACATTCGTCATACGTTTTTCGTGGTTCGTCACGTATTCCGCTTGGAACATTGCTGAATCATTTTGTTCGTTGCAGTATACAGGGTGAGACCAAAAATGAAACATCATACATAGGATCGCATTTTAAGGGGGGTCTTTTATGTAACATTTTTTTCTCGAAAGCTTCACTAAAAAGATACGGGGTGTTGAAGTTTAGAAATAAAAAACAATTTTATTCAATATCTTCAAAACCGTCAACTGAAATGAACAAAAGTTTGGTATGTGGATTTTCCTAAGTAATGTCCACATTAAAAAGTCTTTACTTAAAATTAACGTGCACCAGTGGCGGAGATACAGGGGATTAGTGGAATTATTTTTCCAAATAAAAATAGTACGCCACTGTGTTTTCGTAACGCGAAGTTTTTAGAATTTTGCCTTAAATTTGATACAAATAATTACTGGTGATTTTTTCCTAGAGTGCACTGTTTTCGTAAAACTAAAAATGGTGTCCGGCATACTGTTCAAGAGAAAATGGAATTGATTAATTTGGCGTTGGATGATCCTAGTACAAGTACTAGGCGGACTGCAGCCCAGTTACTATGTTTCCAAAGTTTTGTGTGGAGAATTTTAAATCGGGAATTTTTACATCCTTACCATCGGCAAAATGTGAAATGTCTGCAACTCGGCGACGACGCGCAACAGCGAAATTTTTTTGAGTGGTTACTGCAAATCCATAATCAAAATGCAAATTTCATTGATTTGATTTTGTGGCCTTACGAGGAGTGGAACTTTTAATTCCCATAATGAACATGTAGTTAGAAAATCCCCGTTCTGTAAGAATTCACTCGTTCCAACACAATTTTCTAGAAATGTCTTGTACGGCATTTTCAATGGCCAACTGTGTATGCACGTATAGCTAGAATGCTTAAATGTAAGCTTATACTTAGATTTTCTAGAGAATTACATAGAAGATGTTCCGTTAGCAACGAGAGTACTAATGTTGGATCAGCTCGACGGTGCCCCACTGCATCTTGGTCGTGACATAAAGGCATGGTTAAATAATCACTTTAGACAACGATGGATTGGCAGAAATGGACCAGTACATTGTCCTGTGAGGTCTCCTGATTTGAACCCCCTGGATTTCATTTTGTGGGGCGCTTTTAAACAACTAGAGTATGCTGAACAAATTAATACAGTTGATCAGTCACAAAAAAGAATATATAAACCGTTTCATCAAATTCAAGCCATAAAAAATTTTGCGGGAATACGTTTTTCTTTATTAAAAAGATACTGCTTTTGTATCCGTCTGGATGGTGGTCTTTAACACTCATTGACATAAGAATAAGGTTTGTAGCAAATTGCAAGTTTCGAAAAAAAAAACAATGGCGTACTATTTTTATTTGGAAAAATAATGCCACTAATGCCCCGTACCTCCGCCACTGTTGCACGTTAATTTCAAGTAAATAATTTTGCATGTGGACAATAAATCCACATGCCAAATTTTAGTTCATTCCGGTTGACGGTTTTGAAAATATTAAATAAAATGTTTTTTTATTTTAAAACTTCAACATCCCGTATCTTTTTCATGAAGCCCTTGAGGAAAAAATGTTACAAATAAGACCTCTCCTAAAATGCGGTCCTGTGTATGATGTTTCATTTTTGGTCACGACTGAGAATCACCCTGTATACTATTATATTGTAAGTTTTCGTCTGATTTCGCATTTTAAGCTCTAGTTAATATTCAATAGCCGTCAAATAATATTAAACGACGGCATTAAATTAGCAAACAATGAAAAATTTTAATAGCCGCATGATACGTGTATTTCTGAAAGGTATTTGGAATATTTCCAGACAGACATTATTTTGGCTCTGCATTATTTTTGAGTGTTTACAGTTAATATCATTATCTTGTTATGTTGGACGTATAAAACTAGGAATAAAGGTATGTTAAAAAAGTTGGATTCGTTGTGAAAACAATACTATTTTTTCAACTTCAAGCTCATGGTTTTAGTGGATTTTTACGAAAATCTAATAAAAAGTACCACGAAGAAAAATCATAGCAGGAAACGATAGAAAACAGCAAATGCTACCAAAAATTAATTCAACTACAAATTTAATATCTAATCGTGTTACTTTAACTAAAGTCTTATATAACTGGGAAGACACTCATGCAATGAGAACAAACATAATTTTATCAATTCAAAATTTCCTACTTCTAAGAAGTGCCTCTTAAGAAGTTTTTAATATATTTTTTATTCAAGATGAACATTTCTAGTAGACATATCAAATCCTAAACAGACAAACATGTTTGTTCCAAGAAACTTGCGAATGTATGTCAATGACATTTTTGTTCCATTTATTTCACGAGATGCGAGACAAAAATATAAGCTACTAAAAATATATCATTGTAGAACTACGCTTTTCTATTTGGACAAAATTTGGAATACATCATTGCGTGACTTAGCCTCATAGCTCTGAGTTCAAGAATACATATCATAAATGGAAAACTATCCCAGATCCAGTTATTTTTACCAAATTTCATATTTTTTCAACGTTTTTAATATTATTTGCCTAAAGTCAACTGCACCTTGGTATAAATGCACAACACGCATTCGACTGGACGGAAATCTCTTATCGACTACTACAACCATCAAAAATTTATCACCAACAAAACATCCAATAACAATAATAAAGTTTATCTAAACTTTCAACATCCAATTACCATAATTCTGACTAATAACCAATTTATTTTATGTACACCGTTACTCACATTTGCTGGAACTTTTTTTCATGACTGACCTCCAAAATAAGTGTCCTTTAAGTGAAAGAAAACACATACATATTTATGAAAATCGGAATGATTACAATATATGACATCCTCGCCACGATTACGCTGCCAACTTCCAAGAAACGTACTTTGTGGTACTTAATTTACCGCCGAATTTCCGAGTGTTGCCACTGATTTCTGATTTATTTGTAAATTCATTCAAATTCGAATTTAATGACGATTTCAGTACAATAAATTTTTTTCGCATACATTCAAGTGATGGCTAAGAAAACTTGGAAATCCGCTGGAAAGCATTAGCAAAGTACGCACTACATAATATATTAGTATCTGTAGGAAAAAGGTAGGATAACGATTTCCGAGTCTCATTGGGCTGAACCTTGACATTTGTATGTTGAAGAAGCCTTTCAAATATTAATAATTTTTGATCTCCATATCTCTGTAAAAATGCACTTGAATAGATCTTTCAGAAATACCCGTGTTCATTTGAAAACTTTCCACCACGGATTTATCGAAAACCACTGATTAAAAGAAAAACGCCGAAAGATTTCTCACGGGGGACAACTTTTTAACCAAAAACTACTTCACCCTCTTTCACTCTCGGCCCCCCAGGGTCATTCCCTTAAAAATTCTAAATAACTCTTCAGCTTATTTGAAAGATCTTTCGAAGTCCTTTATTTTGACGTTTGATTTTTTAAAATCAGTCGCTTCGTTTTCGAGAAAATTAGAAAAATCTTTATCTTAATCTGTTCAGATAGAAAAAAACACACGAGAACATCACTTTTTATTTCAATAAACGTTCAAAATGTTGCCCGTTAGGGTTTGCCATATATTTCCACCAAGACGGCGCTCCTACTCCCTATGTTCTTCCGGTTCGGCAATGGCTAGACGACGAGTGTCCAGATAAATGGATATGGCGAAAAGGGCCTATAGAATGGCCTGCTAGATCTCCTGATTTGACGCCACTAAACTTTTTTCTATGGGGCCATTTGAAATCTATTGTGTTTACTTCGCAACCTGAAAGTTTGGATGAACTTGGTCAACGAATCATCGAAAGCTGCCATGATATCCCTCAATATGTTTTTGAAAATGTCCGTCAGGAATTTGAACATCGCGTATATTTAACACTTATTGCAATAAAAAGTGATATTTTCGTGTGTTTTTGTTTTCTGTCTGAACAAATTCTGACAAATAAAGATTTTTCTAATTTTCGTGAAAACGAATCGACCGATTTTAAAAAATCAAACGTTAACATAAAGGACTTCGAAAGAACTTTCAAACAAGCTGTTGTTCGATGCATTTAAAATTTTCAAGGGGATGACCTTGGGGGCCGAAGGTGAAACGGGGTGAAGTAGTTTTTGGTTAAAAAGTTGTACCCCAAATCTTTTGACGTGTCTCGGAGTTTTTTCTTTTAATGTGTAGTTTTCGATAAACCCGTGGTGGGAAGTTTCCAAATGAACACAAAGAATTACTCTTAATATACAATATGCTAGACTGGCTTGATCAGATAGTACGCAATAATATACATTTCTGGATAATCCATAAGTGAATAATTAATTTGCAATGTTGCTCCTGCCGACAATTGTAACAAAATTGAAAAAAAATATATGAGCAATAGTAAACCGACACTGTTGATTAAAACAAAATTACCTAAATTGCCACTGTGCTCTTATCCATATTTGTAGTTCTATCTCGGTTCTACAGAAATGTATTTGGATCGGGTATTATAACTATTGATGTTAACCCAGACTTAAACAATGGTGCATTCAGATTGTTTTTATTCGTAAATCTTGAACTAATGTTGATATAAAAGGTTCATAATTTTTTATCTGTATTATCAGTAACAAATCCCTGAGATGCCTCTTACAACCGCCTATGAAAGATACGAGGAACTTTGCAAGTATTAATATAATCAAGGTAGAAAGGTATTTTAAATTACAAGTGTAGGCTGTATCCAAAGCACAAAATTGATGCGTACGAATGAAAAATAAAATTGAACATTGTTTAGCCTATATTTGGTACAGTGAGTATAAGTCTCAATTCTATTGACAGCAGACCTCCCTAGTTTTGCAAGACATCATTTTCTGTAAATATTGTATAAAAAAAAAACAATATATTCGCGAGTTAATTCTTTAACCTGTTAAAGGATCTTGTTAATTTAGGAAATAAAATTTTAGTCATTTTATAATGAATAAAATTTTATGTTGAATAGCTACTCTGATATTTAAAAAAACGGATAGAACATTTTTCATTTTGAAACTTCCATAGGTATGTTTAAACATCTTAATATCATTAAAAAAAAACTCCACCGTTAGCTAATACTAATTTACATATGCGATACAGCTGTTAGACTTAAGGAAAAAAGTAGATATCATCCATTATACAATGAAGTTAAACAAATCATAAGGCCTTGTTACTAGTCGTAACCTAACGGGTAATTTCTTCACAACTTAGTGTTTTCAACTATGACATGACCAAACGTATCCTTACCAATTTTCCTACCAGACACTGTCCGTGGAGGCTGCGTGGCGAGTACAACTGGGTCGCATGCCCACGCGCTTGTCGTTCTTACGTAAGGTGTGGTGAAGGGGAGGAGCGTGGAGAAGGAGTGGGAGCATAAGTAGCGTCATTGACTGCGAGACAGAGACAGCCGGTGTTAGCACCGCCCATGTGGGTGGTGTCGAAGTGCAGAGGAGCAGGGATGTGGATGGGAGGCGGCATCGCCGCTGCCGCTGGCGTCGGGGCGGCGATGGGGAGCGCGCATCACGTGCAGCACTGCATCCAGGCAGCAGGATTGCACGTGCAGAAACAGCTTGTCTGGATGATGGGCGCGTATACGACGCCGTTTGCGTACATCAAAGGTGGCGGCTGCTGGGTCATCATCCGTTGCTGGTCCTGAAACAACGAAAATAGATTTATTTCATATCTCAAACGTTATCAAAGAATTGCAGTCTGCTCTTTGGCTAATATCTACTGAGGCAATTCTAAACACATGCTCTCTGCCAAGTTCTACATCTCCTTATTTCTAACACGGTGCATGTACACAAAGGATCAACATTTCTTATAAGCATAGTCTGTAAAGCTTTTTCATAAAATTTTCAATCATTCCACAAATATAAATTATCTCCTCCCCCAATTAAATTCAAAGCGTTTAAATTCGACAATCTAAAGGATTTAAACACAAATTTTCAAAAACTTCACATTCCTTATATTGAAAACGAAGCACTACAGAATATATGGCGAATGTTATAAGATACTGTGGTACGTATCATCAGAATTTTTAAAAAGGAACGTCATACACAATGACAGTCGGGCGTCACTTATAGCGTTAAGAAGTCGTAGAGTGACATCTGCAACAATATGGGAATGCCAACAACTGACACACTGGCAGAACACAATAAAGTAACTATGATGTGGTGCCAGGTCATTCAGGTAACGCAGGAAATGGAAGCGCGGATGAGCTAACAAGGAAAGAATCATCCACACCACATACAGGCCCAGAACGTGTCTTGGCGGTGCTAAAAAGCACAATAAGGAACCAAGTCAAGGAATGAGTGAGAAACCAGCACAAGGAACATTAAGACTTAGTGCAGGCATGGGAAAGAATTCATCTCGGGGACCATATTCAAACGAGACTGCGGAACTGCTCTCAATGAGTAGAAACCAACTCAGTGCAGTAACAGGACACAATGGGCTGAAAGAACACCTGAGCAACATAGGGCTGTGCGATGGAGACCTTAACTGCAGACAATGCGGAAAAGGAACAGAATCAGCTCTACATGTCTCATGTGAATGCGAGGCGCTGGATCACAAAAGATATCAACTTTTCGCGAAAACAAAACTTGAAGTTTAGAATAGCACCGACAGGGAGACTGTTCCAACTGGTTCAGAAGACTAGACCATTGGATTTGGTATTGCAAATTCGAGAAATAAGCCCTAGGTGCTGCAGTGCTATCGTGGACATTGGTCGGACGGCTCCCGCAAAAGAATAAAAAAAAAACAGAATTTACTGATAATTCAGTCAGTGCCAGTGGATTTCCACGTAATCTTATACATCAGTAATAATATCCTGGCTACAGGGCCAATATATATATATCAACTTTTCATCTTAAAATGAGATTGATGGACGACGGCTTTTTCTCCAAACGATAACTCTTAGAGCGACTAATCTCTCAGTATTCAGGAATATGGTTTCCCGGAGCGCAACAGAACCACGCTCATTTTCTAACAGTTATTCTACTAATTCATTTTAAGAGATGACCACATTGAAATTTGGCCAGATACCTCATTAACACCCTGTATGTAAAATTAGACGTTAATACGCCATAGGTCATAGCCTAGGCTATTATTGACAACATTTAGAATATGTCATGAATCTATTTCAGCATAAACGTATAAAAATCAACCTTGAAACGGACCTTGTAAGGATCATAGTCACGATCAACATGTCTCGTCACAACACACCTCCCTACAATGTATTTTAACAAAATATTTCTTTTAGTATGTCGATTCTCCGAGCTTTTGGTCCGAGAACTAGTGTCCGACCGAACTTTCGGTTTCGGTTGAGAAAATCCGCCTAAACTTCAACCAAAACCGAAATATTTTATGTCTTCAGGCGCCTTCGGACAAATTTGTTCAGATCAAAGGTCAAGATTGCTAGAGAAAAACGTTCATTCATGTCATATCAGACTGTTCAATTATGATTAGTTGATTACATTCTAATGGCCTGTTGCACCAAAATTGAATTCGAGTGTTGAAAGACTACAGAAATTTAGAGGCTTTTTTATATACTTCAAGATGGTAGATAACTCGCAAATTATCGAGGAATTCTAGTTCAGGTTCAATTTCAGGCAGAATATTCAAAGCAAAATTTCTTAAAAATGCGATAGTTACCACTTGGAAATAGTTTTTGTTTTTAGTCTTTTATTCTAGAAAACCACTATTTATTAGTTCAAGGATACCCAAATATAATCATTTAGAATATTATCATTACCTATAAAATCTATTTTTGAAGGCTATAAATAAATTAGACGATCTTGAAACTCCAAAAATTGATTGTTTAAGTTAAACACGTTTTACAAAATTTTAAACCGGGTACAAATTGAACTATCTCCGTCTAAACTAACCTTAAATAGTATTGGTGCGAGAGGCCATACGTTGTTACAATCGGCACATCCACCATTTTTGCAAATATTTTGTACACAAAGGCAAGAATGATACTGATTTTTTAGACGAATCGACCGGGACCCATTTTCCATATGTTTTGTGGCTTGTCCTTAAGATGAAAAATGCCATATAGAGACATATTTTATTTATTGTTTATGTATCACCAAAGGACAAGACGCACCCAGTAACATAATAGAAAATAGCTTTTAAATGGAATCGAACTAACCGTGTAAAGCACCTGCCAGGCGAGACTCTTGATGAGCTGCAGCGTCTGGCGACGTTCGTGGCCCATCAGGCAGACGGTGGACTCCTCGACGACGTCGTGCAGTAGCATCAGGTACTGGTGGCGGAGCGCCTCTTCGTCAGGCTCCACGAAGTGGTTCCACAGGTAGTTCTCCAGTTTGGCGCGCTGCTGGGCGATGTCCGGGAAATCGATGAAGAACCGTGAGCACATATACCTGAAACAAGGAGAATACATTGTACCAGTGAAAACGTATCCTCTGAGAAGATATTCAACCCTATAGGATTGAGGTGAAACATTTTCGGCGTGACTCAGTGAAAAATGAGCGAAATTAATTCAAATTCTAAAATATTTTTGAAATGTAAATCAACTTGAGACATGTATCTATAGCAGACGTAATTTGCCGTTTAAAGAAAATTATTTAGACATCACCCCTGAACCTAGAGAAAAGGAAATTGCATAAAATTCGCCAACAATTCGAGACATGACAACGCTGGCGTCAAAAGATGCTTAGTGGTTCTTTTATAATTCCTCAACGCCCGATTCACATATTTTCGGTAAATAATACGTTAGTAACTCATATCACGCAATAGTTAAATAGATGTTGATTAGATCGATTGCTAAATATGTAAATATGCTAAAACATAGGTTTCCGTTCTCGCTAAATAATATCACATTCTCATGCGGTGATTGAAAAGTCCATTGAAAACGAATTCATGTCCCGGCATTGCGCCAAGTGGAATGACTTGGCATTATTACTTTTTGTTACGGTTCTTAAGGAAGTCTTTTTATTACCCTCAAGGTTATTCCGTTTTAAATTGTTTCATTTATATACGGCACTTTGTTGTATATGCGACTGATTTTTAGGTTTAATAAACTCAGTGAATGCGGATAAACTAAAGGACATTGTTAGAACTAAAACTCGTAAAATAACTTTATTTGGCGGCGTGCCTCCATACCGGCAAAGTTCTGCTCATCCTTTTTAGGGTGACGCGTCCCTTTTTTAGATTTATTTTTTCAACTACCTGTTTGCAGCAGTATTCTAAATCCTTTTCATCTGATAATGTCATGGTGTGTATAGAGATGGCTAAAAAACAATTTTTTCATTTCTTTTGTAAAAAATGCATTTTTCATACATTTTATTGTGTATTTTTTCTTAGATCGGAACTTGTTAACAAATATATGTACAGCTCTGAAATTCTATATGAATATTGTTCTTTTATGGAAGAATGGAACAAGTGATTACTTTTGTCCTTAACCTTTTAGAAAAATCTTTGATTTTCTTAAAGCCCGTCTCGTAGCAAGTTGGGTTTTTAAGAAAAGCAAAAATTTTTTGAAGAGAAAAGGTGATAAGAATAAAAGTAATTACTTGTTTCATTCATCCATAAAAGTGGAATATTCACATACAATTCCAGAGCTGTACTAATATTTGTTGTTACGATCGAAGAAAAAATCCACAATAAAATGCACAAAACATGCATTTTATGACAAAACAAAATTAAAAACGATATTTTTTAGTCATCTCTATACACATCATGAAGTAATCAGATGAAAAGGATTTAAAATTCTGTTGCAAACAGGGAGTTGAAAAAAAAGCAAAAAAAGGGATGTGCGGCCTTAATATCGGACTATCGGTATATCTTATGGTAACTCCAAAAAACTTAAGCTGATAATGTGGTAACTCAAATTTGAGGATATTAGTAACTAGCACATTCCGCTTCTAGATACTCTACAAAATCAAAAAGAAGCAATAACACTGCGTGGAATGTCTTTTATATCCGCCGGTCGGCTTCACCCCCTGTCCCTTCAAATTGGTTTGGCTTACGTTACTGGTTGCCAAATTTAAAACATTTTACAACAAAAGACAGCGATTCGTTTTTGGATTGGCGGTTCGCTCATTCGATAAACTATGAATGTCACATCTAATGCCTAATTAAACCTTTACAAATACTGATATACTATTCACTGTGGAATCAACGAGGAAGAATCATTAGAACGTCAGGCACCTTTTGCGATTGCCCTGATTTATACACTTGCATATATATTTACCAACGTGCAACAGACAAATTGAACAAAAAATATATTTGATAGACTGCAAATAGATGATAGATATTTCCAACATGAATAAATGTAATTCTGAACAAAAATAAATTTTAATCAAATATACGTATTTTTTCGCTCCTACAATAAACTGATCAAAAAATAATTATCTATCTAGCAACACCGCATGCATTTCACGCCAAATAGCAACACGTGGTTAAACGTTATGTTGTTTCTTTAGCTAAACTAATCCATCTCTCTCTAATTCTATTTGCCTTGCTTGTCTTCCCTTTGTATGCCTTGTCTTTGGCAAAACTGTAGACCTGTTACCAAGATACAAAAACCTAGCAGCTGATGATCTCAGCCTCACAAAATGTTATCCTTTCATATTAGAAAATGTACTTATGCCAAATAAATTTGATGTAGCAAGTATCTTACGTTTTTAAAAAAAAGGAATTGCACGCGCTAACAGACTGTATACACCAATTCATAAATAACGTAGTTAAAAGTTAAAAGTGTAAAAACATAAACGGATCCTATTAAAGCATGTACCTTGCAACAGATTAAAGACTGGAGATAGACTGTTGAGCAATGCACTCAACACTAAAGATGGTAATGGCAATAGTTAAAGGTCAAGATTACAGAAAAACTGGCTCGTTAACAAAAATAACAGATCAATTAGCGTTACATCATGTTTCTGCGGCAATGCTTGTGCATCGCTTTGGTATGATGTCTTGTTCAATAAACTTAGAAATGTAGTTACAGGGAATAAAAAGCAATCATGTGAAATCAACTGGTAGACTTTACAGGGTATGTCAAAAAAATTGCTGCAGAAATTATCACAATGTACATATTTATCACGTAAGTGTGATGAAGAAAGGAGTAATAACTTAAGTAGAATCTGTTCACACCAATTTCAACGGTAAATGCCTATCTAGGTAGCATGTTTTAGATCTAATATCTATTGCCCCATAAAAAAGCGATATGAAATAATACTATTCAAAACAGATTTTCTGATTCAATGGGAAAGCCATCTGAGGGGTGTGCCACTAACAATACGAACTGACATTGTATGGTGGACATTGTAGTTAAAATATCAGCACCATAGTATGAACCATTATTTCAGGATAGGTACGAGTATCATACACTGACTTTATCTGAGCTTTAACCCATGCACAAGCTTTGATAAATAAAACTACGGATGCAATTAAGTATTACTATCGCTTCCCAACAGTTGTAGAGATTGACGATTTGTACTCGCCTCAAGTGACATGTTTAGTAATTTAGTTATATTTAGGTCTTGCATAACAACACTTCATCTTGGCACCGTGTCCGAAAACGGTGTAAGAGCTGCTCTAGCAAAAAGGAATTAATTGTGTAATAACAGGAATCCTAGCAGTGGTCATGAGGAGTCATCAGTCTTTGACAAATTTACTAGAGCCAACAGTTTCGTACAGTCCTAGCAGGAAACGCATAAGATTCAAGATCGGTGTATGTGGTACTGTGAACCTTGAGAAGCGCCATAGTGTTCAGTGTTATCGGGGATTCTAGTACGGTGACTTGGGTTAAAAAAATCTAAAATCGTGATTCCCATGAGCCCGCACGATGAGCCACTCTGAATACCTATGCATAGAACTTTGGTCCAGAAAATATACATTAACATTTTATTACCTTGATTAAAACTTTCAAACATTCACAATGATTTCGAAATTATACATAATTTGAGGACCAACAATTATTGACGCACACTCGCTAATCGATATTGAGTACTCACGAATTATTAACGAGTATACTTAGTGGTACGGTATTTATCAGTCAATCTGCTTCACTTGTATTATTTCACTTACTTGGAAACCAGAACCAAGTAGCATTAAAAAGTGAAAGGTGCCAAGTAAGTAGTGGGACAATAAAAGGTTATACCTCCATCCTAGGTACAGCTAAACGTTCTATTATCTAAGTATTTTTTTGAAAACCATCAGGGGTCATAAAATGTCCTATTCCCTGATCAATATTGAGTACTCATAAATTATGAACGAGTATACTTAGTGGTATGGTATTTATCAGTCACTCTGCTTCACTTGGATTATTTCACTTACTTGGAATCCAGAACCCAGTAGCACTAAAAAGTGAAAGGTGCCAAGTAAGTAGCGGGACATTAAAATATTATACCTCCATCCTAGGTACAGCTAAACGTTCTAGTATCTAAGTACTTTTTTGAAAACCATCAAGGGTCATAAAAGTCCTATTCCCTGATCAATATTGAGTACTCACAAATTATGAACGAGTATACTTAGTGGTACGGTATTTATCGGTCAATCTGCTTCACTTGTATTATTTCACTTGCTTGGAAAACAGAACTAAGTAGCACTAAAAAGTGAAAAGTGCTAAATAAGGAGCGGGACAATATAAGATTATAGGTACCTCCATCCTAGGTACAGCTAAACGTTCAATTATCTAAGTATTTTTTTGAAAACCATCAGGTGTCACAAAATGTGCATAACCAACAAAACCAACAGTGTAATAGAAATACAACAAAATTCAAATAATACAGTCCGAGCTCTTGAAAGGAGTCAAGGACGATAGACAGACGGCAGACATAATGATGAAAATGAGTCGCAGTTTTCCGTAATAATATACATTTAGAAACATCGAGTAAACATATTACTATCCCTACTGACCCGAACATTTTGACGATTACCATTATATTTTCCCGCCTACTGGCGTGAGAAAATAAACAAAAAATGTTGTTGAAAGCATGGGCCGGTTCGCTTCTGTCTCACACGTCAATTATTCCATCAATCCATCTAACCCACCTAAGAGAGAGCAACAAAAGAAATAAACAAGCTGCAAGGTCGCTTATGTTTCGAAATTCGCCAGCCTTCGTTCAATTGAATTTAATGGGTTTCCCACGAAAAGTGACAATAGCGTATAAAACGTAGCAATATTTATTGAAGAGTTAAAAATAACGGAAGTAGAAGTGCCGTAAATACATTATGAGAGCTTTGGATCTTAGCCTTAATGAACTGTTTTTATCTCAATGTAGGCTGGTAATGAACACATTGTAGTTATATTGAACTTAATATTATCATCCGCCATAGCTACAATAGCTTGTTGATTCAAATTTTTGAACTGACTGAAGGTTAATATTCGTAGAACTAGAGGAAGTCTTTTTTCTCC